AGAACACAGCACTGAAAGAGATCACATGGTGGATAACGGAGTAACAACTCTCTCCTATACACACATCTGAAGCTACCCGATCTGTGTAACTCAAGCATGGGTGTGAATGGCTGAAAAAACAGTGCTGGGTGTGCTGCTACTGTACATGAAACCCCCAATACACTGCCCAGCGGGAGAGTACCTAGAAAAAGAACAGTGTAGACAAATGATGCGCTCAGAAAACCCATTGGAATAGTCAGATTCAAGCTGTGAGGCCCTCCCAAATCCTGGTTACTGGCACAGCTTCAAACGTGGGGGATGGTGCTAGATGCTGCACTTTTTTCAAACCTTTGTTTCAAAAAAGCTGAGGCTAACTAGAGTTCATCCTTTCTGGACACCTGCAGTCTACATGAAACAAACGACAATTCTGTGGGTTGTTACATTGCGTGAAACAAAGAAGATATGCTTCTTAACAAACAATGTGGACTTGTGCAAAGAGTAGGCTTGACCTTTCAGGTGCAAATTTCAAGATCTTTCTTGCACAACATGAAGGTGATAAGATGCTATGTAACTCTATATGCTCTTAAGAAATGATAGTGAATGTCTAAAGTGAACAATAATATTGGGCCGGTTGCTATGAGTCGAACCGACTCCACGGCACATAACAACAACAACAATGTATACATTTCTCAAAGACAAAAAAAAAAAAAAAATTAACAGTGTTGGGGCAGTACTTGCAAAAGGAAAAGGCTTATCTTTTTTCAAAAAAACATAGCTGCAGACTTGTCAGCAGCTACACACTGACATATACACAATCTCTCTCACACACATACACAACCCAAACACGACACCTCAGAAAATTTCCTGTTAGTGCATTCAGTCTGTCAGTTTGTCACACTGTCAGTTTCTCGTACTGTGGTGGCCTGCATGTTGCTCTGATTCTGAAAGCTATGCCACTGATATTTTAAATACCAGCAGGGTCACCCATGGTGGACAGCTTTCAGCTGAGCTTCCAGACTAAAACACACTAGGAAGAAGGAAAAGCAGAATACTTCTGAATGTTTAGCCACTGAAACCCTTAAAAATCGCATCGTAACGTGGTCAGGTAACACTGTTATACTGAATATTAAAACATTATGAAAAGCACCAGAGTATTGTCAGGTATAGGACTGAAAGATGAGTCCCTCAGGTTGGAAGGCACTCAAAATACAACAGGGGAAGAGCTGCTGCCTCAAAGTGGAGTTGACAGTGATGATACGAATGTAGTTAAAATCTGGAACCTTCATTTGCTGGTGGGGCAGAACTTGAAAAGCTGGGAACATCCATTAATAATCAGAACATGGAATGTAAGAAGAATCAATTGATGAAAACTGGAAGTAGCCAAAAATGAAATGGAACACATAAACCCAGATATTCTAAGCATTAATGAGCTGAAATGCACTTGTATTGGCCCATTTTGAATCTGACAATTATATGATTTACTATGCCAGGTATGACAAATTGAAGAGGAATGGTGTCATATTCCTTATCAAAAAGAACATTTCAAGGATCGATCTTCAAGTATAATGCAGTCTGTGACAGGATAATATCCATATACCTACAAGGAAGACCAGCTAATACCACTATTATTCAAATTTACGCACCAATCACTAAAGCCAGTGATGATGAAATTGAAGAATTCTACCAACTTCGTCAGTTTGAAATTGATCAAGCATGCAATCAATGTGCATTGATAATTACTGGTGATTGAAATAGGAAGGTTTAGAAAATAGAGGAAGGCTCAGTATTTAGAAAACTGTGGACTTGGTGACAGAAATGATACTGGAGATCGTGTGATAGAATTTTGCAATACCAATGACTTCATTACAAATACCTTTTCAAACAACACAGAAGACAACTATGCAAATGGACCTTACAAAATGGAATACACAGAAATCAAATTGACTACATCTGTGGGAAGAGATGATGGAAGAGCTCCATATCATCAGTCAAAACAAGGCCAGGTGTAGATTCTGGAACAGATCATCAGTTGCTCATACGCAAGTTCAGGATGAAGATGAAGAAAATTAAAACAACTCTACGAGATCCAAAATATGACCTTGAACATAACCCACCATCTCAAGAACAGATTTTTATGCATTTGATGGTAAGAGTTGAAAAACTAGAGTTGTGAGATGACATCAAGAACATCAGAAAAGAAGAAAGAAATGGTCATAAAGAAGACAAGAAAGAAGGAAAAGGCCAAAATTGATGTCAGAAGAGACCCTGAAACCTGCTCTCCAGCACAAAGATGCTAAAGCAAATGGGAGAAACAAGGAGGTAAAAGAGCTAAACAGAAAATTTCAAAGGGCATCCCGAGAATACAATAAATTATAATGAAACGTGCAAAGACGCAGAGTTAGAAAACTAAAAGGGAAGAAAATGTTCAGCATTACTGAAGCTGAAAGATCTGAAGAAAAAAAATTAAGCCTCAAGCTGAAACATAGGATTGTATGTACAAAATATTGAATCACGCAGAAAGCATCAAAAAAAGATGGAAGGAATACAAAGTCACGGTACCAAAAATAAATGGTCTTTATTCAACTATTTCAAGAGGTAACATATGATCAAGAGCCAGTGACACTGAAGGAAGAAGTCCAAGGGCACTGAAGGCATTGGCAAAAAACAAAGCCCCAGGAATTGATGGACTATAAATTGAAATCTGTCAACAAACCGATACAACACTGGAGGAACTCACTCATCTATGCAAAGAAATTCTGAAGACAGCTCCTTGGCCAACTGATTGGAAGAGAGCCCATCTTTTGCACTTTCCAAAGAGAGGTGGGTGACCCAACAGAATGTGGAAATCATCAGACAATATCATTAATATCACATGCAAGTAAAATTTTGCTAAAGATAACTCAAAAAAGTTTGAAATAATACATTGACAGGAAACTGTTGGAAAGTTCAAGCCGGTTTCAGAGGAGGATATGGGATGAAGGGTATCATTGCTGATGTCAGATGGATCTTGGTTGAAAGAATAGAGTACCAGCAAGATGTTTACCTGTGCTTTATCGAGTAAGCAAAGGCTTTTGATTGCATGAATCATGACAAGCTATGGATAGTATTGTGGAGAATGGGTATGCTGGAATGCTTAATTGTGCTCATGAGGAACTTGTACATAGATCAATAAGCAGTCATTTGAACAGAACAAGGAGACAACGCATGGTTTAAAATCAGGAAAGGGGTGCACCAGGGTTGTATTCTTCAACCATACTTATTCAATCTGTATGCTGAGCAAATAATCCACAAAGCTGGGTTATCTGATGATTAACATGGCGTCAGGATTGGAGGAAAACTCATTAACATCTATTGATAAGCAGATGATACAACCTTGCTTGCAGAAAGCAAAGCTGACTTAAAATACTTAATGATGAAGTTCTAAGACCACAGCCTTCAGTATGGGTTGCACCTCAGTGTTAAGAAAACAAACATCCTCACCACTGGACCAACAAGTAACATCATGATGAATAGACAGATAAAGGTTGAAGTTGTCTAAGACTTTATATTGCTTGGCCCCCACTATCAACACTCATAAAAGCAGCAGTCAAGTCAAATGATGTATTTTATTAATAAACCTGCTGCTCAAGACCTCTTTAAAATGTTCAAGAGCAAAGATGTAAGTTTGAAGACTAAGGTGCATCTGAAACAAGCCATGATATTTTCAATAGTCTCATATGCATGTGAAAGTTGGACAATGAATAAAGGAGACCATAGAAAAATTGATGCAATTGAGTTAAGGTACTGATTGGAGCAGAATATTAAAAATACTATGGACTTCCAGAAAAATAAACAAATCTGTGTTGTACAAATCTGTGTGAATGCTGCTTAGAAGTGAAGACAGCGAGACTTTGCCTCTCACATTTTGGATATAGTATCAAGAGAAACCAGTCCATGGAGAAGGACATCATGTTTGGTAAAATGGAGGGTCAATGAAAAAGAGGAAGGCCCTGGAACAAGATGGATTGACACAGTGGCAGCAGCAATGGACTCAAGTGTAGCAACGGCTGTAAGGAAGGCGCAGGACGGGTGGTGCTTCATTAGGTTGCACATAAGGTTGCTATGAGTCAGAGTCAACTTGATGGCCCCTAACAACAACAACAATTACATTTCAGACAGTCTGAAACATCAGAAGTAAAAAAAAAAAAGGATAGATTGAAAAGGAAAACAGTCAAACCTTGCTCTGTTAGGTCATAAGAAAAAATGAGTATCAAATACATTATGTAATTGGGTTTAATCTTTTTTTTTTTTTCATCAGATAAGAATTTAGGAGCTAACACCACTAGAAGGAAATACCTGAAACACAGGTAGTAAATAATAACTAGGATTGTACATTATCTAAATGACATTTCTTCAAGACTCAAGCTTGCATCCCTAATTGTGAGAGTTTATTCATAATAATGCAGTACTACGTCTCTTTCTTTGAAAGCAGCTGGGCAGACAGCTCTCTCTGTTGGGACCTGGTAGCTGTCTTTGACCTCATGAAGCTCACTGACCATGCCATCAGGTTCCCATCCCATGTGCAGGTATGTTTAGTATCCCTTCACTAGCTTTCATCAAGCCAGGTGCTGACAATTGCTAGACACTAGTTCAGCTATAATAAAACTGTGTTTTGATTCCCATTTGACAAATGATTCTTGTACACGGCTCCCTTGTAAACTTCATCTGTGGGAACGATCCAAGGGTTTACAATAAGAGAGAATGGAGGGGACCAAAACTCATATATTCCTGACTTTAGAGTCATAATTCCATGGACCTTTGCAATAATTGCCAAATGACACACACAAAGAAAATAGTGTTATTTTGACTTCTGACTGAGGGTCATAATCATATTTGAGATGGAACCCCCAAAATGATGCTTGGATCCTGGCCACTTTAAGTATCTTGGCCATCAGCCATAAGAATAGCAAAGTGATCTTAACTACCAAAATTAATAGATATACGGACAGTGGTTATGCATACAAGTTATCTGACATACAAACCTTATTTCATTAGGAATCTCTTCTTCCTCCTCTTCTTTATTTTTGCTTCTCCAGTAAAAGAATGCCCCTAAAATTAGTGCAATGCAAAAAATGGTAATAACTGCACCAGTACCAATGGCTCCAGCTATTAGTCCAATGCTCCTGGGCTGGGCTGCAAAATATATTTAAGGCATATTTAAAGAGCAAAAAAAGAATGCCAGCACATACCCATACAACTCTATAACACAAATCTGCTCAAGAATCTTGTTACTACGTACATAATTGTCTAAAGTTTTGCACCCGTATTAAAGCTACACTTCAATTAGCTTTCTATATCCCTATTGGCTAGGACTAACTCACAGTAGGCTCTTAAACATTTCTTGAATGAATAAATAAATAACCCACACAGGTTTAGGAGAGCAACACCTAGCACAGAGTGGGAATACGTTGTCACCTTCTAGTTGGTCTAAACATACCAGCTGATGTGTTACCTTATCATCTTGTCACAGACAGATCAGTTTCCAACAACTCAGAATTCTCAACTAAAGAGAATGCCTATTTATGACTTGGGGACCCAACAACTGAGCAGATAAAAAAGCACCACGAAAAAACACAGGAAGGTCTGGTCATGCACCCCATAAAATTATTACACATTTCTGGAATGTCTATGCCAAAACAAACAACAACAACAAAAGCACATTGCCATCCAGTTGGTTCTAACTCATAGAAACCCTGCATAGGATTTCCAAGGCTATAAACCTTTATGGGAGCAGAAAGTCCCATCTTTTTCTTGAAGAGCTACTTGAGGGTTTAAACTACTGACCTTACAGTTCACAGTCCAGTGCTTATCCTATAGTATCACAAGGGTCAGGGAACTGCCTGTAGTACTTTATCATAAGTGATACAGTAAACACTAATGATTCTAACATAAAAATTATGTACTGATAGTATACAGGGTTTCTACGGGTCAGCACTCAACAACAACAGTAACGAAGCATTGCAGGATCAGCACTGGACTGCAAACCACAAGGCTGGCAGCTCAAAGCCACCAGTTGCTCCTTGGAGGATTACTATTTGTTGGAACCAACTCCATGGCACTTCACAACAACAAAATATTCTAATACAATGGTGGTGGTGGGTGGTCATATGCCTTGAGTCGGTTCCGACCCTTAGCGACCCTGTACAGGGTTTCTGAGGCTGAAAATCTTTATGGGGGCAGAAGCCTCATCTTTCTCCCATGGAGCAACTGGTAACTCACTGCACTACCAGGGTTCCACACATTTTTATAGTATTTTCAATAACAACTAAAACCAAAAAAGTATCTATTTAGTAGTTTCAGATAACCTTAAAATAATTTAGCAGGGCCTTTTATTCCCTGTTTTCATGAACCCACAGTTGGCATTTTATATACTTACGTGAAATAACCTGGAGATCCAAAAGACAGGTACTGGTTCCGATAGCATTAGAGGCCACACACTGGTACAGCCCTGAAGACAGAGTGCTAATGTTCCGGATGGTAACTGTTCCCTGGACCTGGTCTGTCAGAAAAATAGTAAGCACATGAGGATTTAGGAGAAAGCATCAGAAAACCAAAGAAATTAGAGGAATAATTTTGGGATAAGACTAAAAATCAATAAACACTGAGAACTCTTAAGTAATTTTTCTTTCCTTTTCTCTTTTGAGAAATGTTTGGTTCATGAATCTCATAGCTGAAACCTCTATATCACATTCAAGTCCTGGCGCCATGCAGATCTGTCCTCAATGAGGTGAATCTTATCACAATTCAAAGATTAGCATGTTAAGTCCTAAATAGTAACAGTCACCCAAGTGAAAATGGTGAATTTATGATCACATCAAATTTTAATTTTAAGGCAATACAATAACATAAAGAGTAAGCTACACTCAGTACAATAATGCTCACTTCCATACTTGATGGTATAAATGTAAACCTCACATTTGAGGGTATGTATATATTACTCCCTATTCTAATTGTTGTAGTTCAGGACCTCCAAGAAGCAGACACCAAGGTAAGAGGTTTACTGAAGGAAACTTCAGTAAAGGAGATGGAGAGGGTGACCCCTGTGAAGAAAAGAGGGAAGGCAGCAAGACAAGGTAGAAAGATTAGACTACTACAGTTTTAAGGTAGGAGCTCTGGTAGCGTAGTGGTTACAAGTGGGGCTGCCAACCTCAAGGTCAGCAGTTTGAAACTACCAGCAGTTCTGTGGTGGAAAGATGAGGCGTTCTGCTCCCGTAAAGATTTACAGCCTCGTGCAGGGTCACTATGAGTTGGAACCAACTCCACAGTACTTAACAACAACAACAACAACAACAACAGTTTTAAGGAAGTTTCAGCTTGACTGATGAGCAGCTCTTGAGCCAAAGTCACCCATTCGAGGAATACTGCACCTGACAAGAGCAGGACTATACCAGTAACCCTGTGTGTCCAGTCCCTAGCTGGGAGCAGCCCAGGGGAAGTGGGGTCTTGATGCAAACAGTGTGGTGGATCTAGAAGGAGGGCAGTATGCGTCCAGGGAATTTTCAAGGCCTCCAGATTGGTATTAACAAGACAAGTTTTAATAGGTCATATATTAGCAATTCATCAGTATCAACACTGCTTGATTATTTATTCCTTGTTAATTAAATAAGAAATTACAGTAATAATATAAAGTTAATGGTTATCACTATAAACCGAGCATTAGTTAAGCATGTATATGTAATATCTCAATCATACCAATGGCTTCATGAGGGAAATATCATTAATGGCTTTTAATGGGTATTAGAAGGAGCTCCGATAGTATAGTGGTTATGAATTGGGCTGCTCACCTCATGGTCAGCAGTTCAAAATTGCCAGCTGTTCTGTGGGAGCAAGATGAGGCTTTCTGCTCCCGTAAAGATTTACAGGGACAGTATGAGTCATAACAGAGGGCAATAACCACCACCCCATCACCACCGGATCTACTGGTTCTTTTGGCATCCCATGGCACTTTCAATATTCTCCTCCAACACCATAACTCAAAAGCATCAATTCTTCTAAAGTCTTCCTTATTCACTGTACAGCTTTTGCATGCATATGAGGTTATTGAAAATACCATGGCTTGCATCAGGTGTACCTTAGTCCTCAAGCTGACATCTTTGCTCTTCAACACTTTAAAAGGGTCTTGTGCAGCAGATTTGCCTAATGCAATAGGTTGTTTGATTTCTTGACTGCTTCTTGACTGTGAGTGTTGATAGTTGATGCAAGAAGAATGAAGTCCTTGACAACTTCAATTTTTTTCTCCATTGATAAGACTGTTGTTTATTGGTCCAGTGGTGAGGATTTTTGTTTTCTTGACCTTGAGATGCAATCCATACTGAAGGCTGTACTCTTTGATCTCCATCAGTAAATGTTTTAAGTCCTCTTTACATTCAGCAAGCAAGGTTGTATCATCTGCATATCGCAGGTTGTTCATGAGTCTTCCTCCAATCCTGATGCCACGTTTTTCTTCATATAACCTAGCTTCTTGGATTATTTGCTCAGCATACTGGCTGAATAAGTATAGTGAAAGAATACAAACTTGTTGCACACCTTTTTTAATTTTAAAACATTCAGTGTTCCCATGTTCTGTTCAAATAACTGTTTCTTGGTCCAGGTACAGATTCCTCATGAGCACAATTAAGTGATCCAGAATACTCATATTTTGCAATGTCGTCCATAGCTTGTCATGATCCACACAATCGAAAGCCTTTGCGTAGTCAATAAAGCACAGGTAAACATCTTTCCGATATTCTCTGCTTTCAGCCAAAATTCATCGGACATCAGCATTGATATCCCTCATTCAATGGCCTCTTCTGAATCCGGCTTGAACCTCTGGAAGTTCCCTGTCAATTGTATGATTGTAGCCATCTCTGTATTACCTTTAGTAAAACTTTACTTGTATGGGATATCAAAGAGATTGATGATTTCTGCATACCATTGGGTCACCTCTCTTTGGAATGGGCACAAATACGGATCTCTTCCAATCAGTCGGCCAGATAGTTAGTTGTCTTCCAAATTTCTTGGCAGAGATGAGTGAGTGCCTCCTGTGCTGCTTCACTTTCTTGAAAGATTTCAATTTTTATTCCATCAATTCCTGGTGCCTTGTTCTTTGCCAATTCCTTCAATGCACCTTGGACTTCCTCTTTCAGGATCATTGGCTCTTGATCATAAGCTACATCTTGAAATGATTGAACATTAACCATTTCCTTTTGGTATAGTGACTCTGTGTATTTCTTATATCTTCTCTTGATGCTTTCTGCATCATTCAATAATTTGCACAGAGAATCTTTCAATAATGAAAGTTGAGGCTTGAATTTTTTCTTCAGTTCCCCCAACTTGAGCAATGCTGAGCGTGTTCTTCGTTTCTGATTTTCTGATTACAGATCTTTGTACATTTTGTTGTAATATTTGTCTTTATCTTCTCGAGCTGATCTTTGAAATTTTCTGTTCAGCTCTTGGACCGCCTCATTTCTTCCATTTGCTTTTTCATCTCTACGATGGAAAGCAAGTTTCAGTATCGCTTCTGACATCCATTTTGACCTTTCCTTCTTTCTTGTCTTCTCAATGATTTTTTGCTTTCTTTATGTATGATATTCTTGATGTCATCCCACAACTCTTTTGGTCTTTGGTCTTTAGTGTTTAATGTATCAAATCTGTTCTTCAGATGATCTCTAAATTCAGATGGGATATGTTCAAGGTCATATTTTGGCTCTCGTGGACTTGTTTTCAATTTCTTCAGCTTCAGTTTGAATTTGCATATCAGTAATTGATGGTCTGTTCCACAGTCTGCCTCTGGCCTTGTTTTCCTGATGATATGGAGCTTTTCCATCTTCTCCTTCCACAGATGTAGTCAATTTGATTTCTATGTGTTCCTTCTGGTGAATTCCATATGTATAGTTGTCTGTTAGGCTGTCTAAAGAAGGTATTTGAAATAAACAAAATAATTGGTTTGGCAGAAATCTATCATTTGTTCTCCAGCATCATTTCTATCATCAAGGCCAAATTTTCCAACTACTGGTCCTTCCTCTTTGCTCACAACCTTTGCATTCCAATCACCAGTAATGAGCAATACATCTTGATTGCATGTTTGATTAATTTCAGATTAAACAAGTTGTTAGAATTCTTCTATTTCATCCTCACTGGCTTTAGTGGTTGTGCATAAATTTGAATAATATGGTTATTAACTGGTCTTCGCTGTAGGCGCATGGAAAATATCCTATCACGGACAGCGCTGTACCTCATGACTGATCTGGATATGTTCTTTTTGACAATGAATGTTAACACCATTCTTCTTCTATTTGTCATTCTCAGCATAGTAAACCATGTGGTTGTCAGATTCAAAATGGCCAACACCAGTCCATTTCATCTCACTAATGGCTAAGATATTGATGTTTATGTGTTCTATTTCATTTTTGACAACTTCAAATTTTCTCAGATTCATAATTCGTACATTTCACGTTCCGGTTTGCAATGGATGTTTACAGCTGTTTCTCTTCATTTTGAGTTGTGCCCCATCAGCAAATGAAGGTCCTGCGGGCTTTTCTCCCATGGGTTTTACTCCATTCGTCTCATCACAGTCAACTCTACTTTGAGGAGGCAGCTCTTCCCCAGTCGCATTTTGAGTGCCTTCCAACCTGAGGGACTCATTTTCCGACACTGTATCTGACAGTGTTTCTCTGCTATTCATAAGGTTTTCAGTGACTAAATATTTGGAAGTAGTTCGTCACTCTTTCTTCCTAGTTTGTCTTTGTCTGGAAGCTCATCTGAAACCTGTCCACCATGGGTGACCCTACTGATATTTAAAATACCGGTGGCATAGCTTTCAGAATCACAGCAACTCACAAGCCAATGCAGTGCGTCAAACTGACAGACAAGTGGTGGCAGTAAGTGGTGGTGTGCAATTTCTGGGTGTTGGGCGATTTCTGAAGATGATACTAAAATGAATAGAAACAAGACAAACCCAGTCCCTTACCTTAATGAGACAAGTAGGTAAGTAATTGGAGTAAATGTGGTAAGTGCCAGGACTAGAGAATACAGAGCACTATGAAGTTCTTGTTGAGTGCTATTGAGTGAGTTCTGATTCAGAGACCCTGTATAATGTTTTGGAGGAGCAGCTGGTAAGTTTGAATCAACAACTTTGCCGTTGAGTGCTTATCCTACAGTACCACACTAGGACTCCAGGATAGTAGAAGAGCACACAAGACAGGCTTCTAATATGAATACAGGGGCAGATAAAACATTTGCCACCAGACTTGCCCAAGTATCTTAGTGAGTTCACAGGAAGGCCGACGCACATAAACAGCTATCAGGGTTATCCTTCTGTCCTCTGACATAATACAACAGTAGTGATGGCGATTGTATACCATTGGTTCCAACTTATAGTGAGCCCCTGTATAGGTTTTCCAGAGCTGTAAATAATGACCTAAGCAGAAAGCTACATCTTTCTCCCATGAAGTTACTAGTAGACTTGAACTTCTGATCTTGTGGTTAGCAGCCCAGCTTACAATTCACTATTCTACCAGG